GGTTTAGGGTTTAGGGTTTATGCCTCGAATAACATGGGAGGTATGAACAACTAGCCCCTGGTGCTCCCCGTATCATTATACCACAAAAACCTTATACCACCCTTCCATACACTAGCAAGGGCCACACCCCCCCCATATTTTTTTGGTATAGTATACCCATTTTTGCGAACATATCACCCTAAACCCTAAACCATAAACTCGGTTTAGGGTTTAGGGTTTAGGCGGTTGGGGTTCGGAGATCCATACTTCTCTGCAAGGAGAGTCGGCTTCTCTTCCTTAGGCACCCTTGGTCAGAAGGTTGAATCAAAGGTACAGCCGTTCTGCAACAATTAGGCACCAACAAGCCATTCGAATCATGATTTTGGGGCTTAATTCCATAAGAGTAGTTAGTACGAAGTGCAGAGGAGATGTACATGTCCGCGGTCATGAAGCTGGGATGCTGGCCGTCCTGGAGCAACGAGGGGCAGCGCGCTTCTGCTGCACTGAGTCGGGGTTGAGAAGAACAGGGGTTCATATAGGAATCGGAATAAAGTGCAACAATGTCTCCTTGTACTTCCGTGCTGTAATGGACCCCGAACCCCTCCTAATGATTGAGAACCCAAGGGCCTAAAATTGAGCGGTCCTCAACCCGTAAACGTTTTGTAGGGTTTCGTGTTAAGGATTTAGAGTGATCCTCGTGCCCTTGCTTCATCCGAAGTGCTTCGGCATACTTTGCATACATGATTGACGGGGAGAGGTGGTTGGGGTTCGTGGTGGTGCGTTTCTAGGGGCTGGGCCGAGACACCGCAAAGCAGCGGTGCTCTCAATCCGGTATCGCATGAAGTTGCTCGAATGAATTCCTGAAGAGCCGCTGTAAAAGGCGAGGCCATGCCATGTAACTACCGTACTCCGAAGCAGGCCACCGCCACGGCATGAATGCATTCCGAAGCAGGTCAGACTTTCGAACAGGCAATATCGAAACCCGAAGCCCAAGCCGGGCTTCACAGATGTGATGCACGAGATTATGGGGCTGTCCGTGAAGGTATAGATAGCAGTAATGAGGTCGAAAAAGAGATTGTGAAAGGCTTTCCCCCTACCCCCGAAATCGCGATGTAAGCACGAGGTTCTTCACATTGTACTGGGTCATGATTTCAATATGCACTGCGTTCGGCCTACTCCCGAAGGCTTAAACCCTTTCCAAACCCGAAATCCCACCCTGCACCGAACCCCAAAGCCTAAAACACACACTAAGCTCAACACAACTCATGCTGGCATCCTAAACCCCAAGTCCTACCCAAGCCTCAAAGCCATAATATACAAGTGTGAATATTTAGCAACACCGTCCCATTAACATTCCAGAAGTATATACACATATAACATATATATCTATCTATATATATATATATTTATTTATTTATTTATTAAACTCCAGACAGAGATATATATATATATATAGATTTACGTTTTTATGATTCTGAACCTTCAAGCCCGAGGTCCATTTTTCCGAAACCTTTGCCACCGGGCCATGTCAGAGCATGCACCTGGGCTCGGAGACTAAGCGACTAAGCCGGGTCGGAACATGATTTTAGGGTTTAGGGTTTAGGGTCGCTTTAGGGTTTAGGGTTTAGGGTTTAGGGTTTAGGGGGGATGATAAGAACTGTTGCCACACTCAGAACAACGGCTTAAAAACAAACATAGTAGTAATAACAGTAATAACATTAGTGATAACAGTAGTCATAACAATAACCATCTCAATCGAAATCATACTAAATTTAAGTAATAACACTTCGCCCTCCCTCGTTTATACGTAGTTCATTTGCAAAACGCAACCCTAAACCCGGGCCCCTAAGCCCTAAATCCGAAAAAACAGTTGATTCCGCTATGGCTTGCCGAAGTATGGCGAGGAAGGGTTCTGGTTGATGGTGTCTAGGGATTACAGTAGGGCCTAGGGTTAGGGCTGAGTCACAGCAACACTGCAGCTGATTTTGGGCTGAGAGTCCCAGTGGTGTAGGTTGAGAGGTTGTAAAGACTGGGGTTTAAGAGGGTTGTGGGTCGAACCTTTTGCAGACATTGGTGGCTTCTCTTCCCCCGGTATTGCATGGGACGTTCAGTCCGGAGGAATCACTAGCTTACCGCTCTACGGCTTGGGAGTTGTTTCAGAATCACCAGATTGTGTGAGGGCCAAAAATCTTGTTCGAGGTATTTGCGGTGGAATGCGCATTGGTCCTTTTGAGTTGTGGATTACAGGGCTGATGGGTTTATGGCGGGGTACATTGCTGGTGTAGCCTGTAAACTTGATGAATCAGGTCAAGAAGCAAAAGCCTCTAGCTATTGCACAATTTGCAGCTACCAGAAAAAAGGTCAAAAAGTTAAGGCACTTCAATCCTTTACCCTGAACCCAAAGACTTGTTTGCCTACGTGTCAACAGGCATATCCTCCCAGGCCATACCACGCCAACAACCCTGAAGCCCTGTCTGGAGGGTCCACCTGTAGACTTGAAGGTCACGAATACTACACTCTGAATGGTCTGGAAGGGCTGAAAACCCAACAACTGCCCTAAACCCTCAACCCTAAACCCTAAACCCTAAACCTGGTGTGGGGCTCGGGCCCTTACGTCTAAGCTCTCCCTTCCACGGGCCTGAAGTTAAGCTGCATGTCAAATAGGCACAGGCATCCACAAACCCTAAGCCCTAAACCACAAAGAACCCTATCAACCTCAAACCCAACTTACCCGAGAACCCACACAACCGCGACTCTAAGCTTCAAATATCCCTAATCCCTAAACCAGGTGTCCACACCTGGGCAAGATTTCTTCTTACCAGGCCGCAATCTTGGAACTCGTCTCTTGGGGTACCTTATTTTGGAGTCCTTATAGTGAGATCCTACTATTTCGGGTACTATATTAGGTTCCCCTATTTTCGGAATCTACCATATAGAAGCCTGAATCATTGGTGAACTATCCCTTGGTGCTCCCTAACTTAATTAGGGTGTGTAGTACTCTGAACCATGGGGTGAACTATCCCTTTGTGCTCCGACATTCTCCCATGTTTTAGACTCCTGGTCTAATGATGGTCAAGGCCCTACCTACATTGAACCGTACTGCCTTGACGAAGCCAAGTCTAGTGTTTAGGGTTCAGAGCTTTGCTCAGCCTCCTGTGGGCAGGTTTTAAATTGGGGTAGCGGTGTAGGACCCGGCTCAGTTTGTTGACATCTTCAACAGCATTCCTAAACCTCTAGACCCTTAAACCCTAAAACCTGAACCATAAAAAGCATAACAGCGCACGCCATGTTCAGCCCTAAGCCAATGCTCCAAAGTCATTGGGTCACAGAGGCTTGTTGCCCTAAACCACTCAAAACCCCTTAAGCGTAGACTCTACACTTGACACTAAGCCCTACACCCTTATGTACTTCGGAAACAGGAGCTTAGAGAGAAAAGTTACCCCAAGCCACACACCAGAATCTGCTAGAACCCTCCTTCCAAATCCTTTGAAGCCACCCATAGGCTCCATAGTAGTTCCTTTTTGGATTCCCTAAGATCCTAAATAGAAGCTACAAAAAGGAACTACTATGGGGCCTTGGGCAGGTGCAGATTGTCAGCGTGTATACGTGCTGCAGTCGGGTTCCATGGGATCCTCGGACTCACTCCGACGTTTTTTGTTGCACACTAGAGCTAAAAATGCTGGTTACTGGGCCTTCGACGCTTACTCCGAGACCCTTTGTAGTTCTAAGTTCTGAACCCTAGGCCCTAAGCCCTAAACCATAAGCCCTACACAAACCCTAAACCCTAAACCCTAAACCCCCTACACCCTAAGCCCGAAGCCCTCAACCATTTTGGTATTTGCCACTTGATAGTGTGTGAATCGGAATCGGGGAGCTCAGTCTATGCACAGCTTCCCCCGGGGACTCGGGGTTGTGGGCTTAGGATTTCAGCGTGTGGGGTTTACGGAGAACGGTTCAGGGATTCAGGGTTTAGAGTTCAGGGGTTTACGGGTTTAGGGTTAGGGGTTTGGGATTTAAGGGTGTAGGTTTAGGGTTTATAGCGGTTCTGGTTTTATTAGGAACCCCGACCCAGATACCGCTTGCAAAGAACGATATGAACGGAACCACTGTAGACTCTCCTGGAAGTCTCAGTATAGTGATCAGAAAGCTTGGGAGCGAAATCTCCGCCTAGTCCCCATGTAGGTTTGGGTTTAGGGTTCAGTGTCTAGGGTTTAGGGTTTAGGGCTCCCCGAAGCTTTGGTCTAATCATCAAGACCCCTATTTCATGTGGAGCGCAGCTTATGTCGCCAAAAGGGCGAGGTCTTGAGGTGACTTGCCCTCCGCCATAATGTAGGGACTTAACAAATAATTAGAATAAGGTTTCGGGGTATATCATAGTATATATATATATATATAGATATAAGGAGCTTTAAGGAATGATATTGGTAATTGTTTAGGCTTCTATAGTATATCCCACACCAAAAGTTCAGCTTCACTTGTCCAGGGGATTTTGAGCCTTACCAGTCCAGAATGTCTTTCGAGCAAAATCTGTGGACACAACGGTTTTGAGTTTAGGGTTTAGGGTTTAGGGTTTAGGGTTTAGGGTTTAGGGTTTAGGGTTTAGGGACATTACCTTGAGAAGTGTATGCATGGATGTGTTTTTGCTGGCTGCAAGGAGCTTCACAGCCGTTGGAAGCCCAGAGTCAAAGGAAGCCCTGTGTAAATGGACTTGCTTCATTAGCACTGTAGCATCACCCGTGACTTAGGGTTTAGGGTTTAGGGTTTAGGGTTTAGGGTTTAGGGGTTAGGGTTTAGGGTTTAGGGTTTAGGGTTTAGGGTATCACCCGTGACTTCTGTTACCTATTCGTTTCTTGTGTGATTTCTAGGGTTACAACCTAGAGAAGCCTTGCAGCCGTGGCGCTTGGTCGGAAGAGCCGCCCGGGGGAAGATTGCAAGCCCGACTACCAGTCTCGAGTATACTTGCCACCCTGAAGCCTGAAAACTCCAAACCTTCTTATCAGACCTTACTGTCACCTCAACCCTAAACCCTAAACCCTAATCCTAGCATACCTTTGCCGTTCCAAACCCGAGCCCCCAAATGAACCCTAACCTTCCTCATAACCCAAGTACTCCTAATGTGACCTGAAGATAGCCCGAAACTAATCAGATCTCGAGAGCAACCCTAACGGTTTAGGGTTTAGGGTTTAGGGTCTAGGGTTTAGGGTCTAGGGTTTAGGGTTACATACCTCTACTATCCCGAATGTAGGAGTGTCAGGAAATAGGGGACCCTAACTAACATGGAACCCTAAATAGAGCACCCTTTTTGTAAGGGGCCCTTCAAAAGAAAGGCCCGATCCTCGGAAATTCTAAACCCAAGCCCTAAACCCGAAAACTCCCATATAACCCAATTAGGGTTTAGGGTTTAGGGTTTAGGGGTTTAGGGTTTAGGGTTTAGGGCTTATAGGGTCCAAACAGAGGATCCGTATTGGAAGAACCCCTAAACCCTCCAAACCCCAAACCCGAAAAGCCCACGAGACCCTAAACCCTAAACCCTAAACCCTAAACCCTAAACCCTAAACCCTAAACCCTAAACCCTACCGCCAGGATACTCTTTCCCCCCTTAACCCGAAAGCCTCAGTTACCCCAGGATACTCAAGGGCCCCTAAAACCTAAACCATAAAACCCTATAAACCCTAGACCCTGTAAATCCTAAAGCCTAAACCCTAAAACCGAAACCCTAAACCCTAAACCCTAAACCCTAAACCCTAAAACCGAAACCCTAAACCCTAAACCCTTCAACGCCCCAAGCCGAAGAACTCCAATGTTACACGCCCCCAGGATACTCTTTCCGAGAGCAGAAAACGATTCCTTTGCGAGCCCAGGATGTTCCCTTCGCTTTTTTTTTAGGGTTTGGGGGGTTTGGGGTTTAGGGTTTAGGGTTTAGGGTTTAGGGTTTAGGGTTTAGGGTTTAGGGTTTAGGGTTTAGGGTTTAGGCTTAGGCTATTTTTGTGAGAGGTTTTAAGTTTTTGGGGTTTCAGGGCTTCGGGTTTTGTGTTTAGGGTAGGTATTGTTTGAGAGGTCTTAAGGTTTTAAGGTTTTTGGGGTTTTAGGGTTTAGGGTTCAGGGTTTAGGGTTTGGGGTTTGGGGTTTTTAGGGTTTTAGGGTTGCAGGGTTTCGAGTTTCGGGTTTCAGGGCTTTGGGAGTTTAGAGTTTGGGGTTTGCGTGTTTCGGGCTCAGGGTTTAGGGCGGGCTGAGGGTTTCAGGGTTTCGGGATTAGGGACACGGGTGTAGGGTTTATAGTTTAGGGTTCAGGGTGGAGAGTTTAGGGTTTAGGCTAGGGCTCTGGAGATATTTCAGGTTTGTAAAGGGCTTGGTTGTATCATGCCCCTGGTCCAAACACGTACCTAACCCAGCACTTCTCTTTGGTACTGAAGCATCCGGAGGTCGAGGTGTCGGCTTCCGAAATTTGGGTTTCAGGCGGTTTGGTTTGAGGAGTCATTGGCTGTTTTTTGGGGCCACGCTCCGAACTTCCATCCGACACCTTGGTGCACGACTCGCTCAACTGAAAGCGATCCGAAATGACACAGTCCCGCTTGTACCATTAGTTCATTTCAAACTTTGAGTTGACGAATCTTATGTAATAGGATCCTAGCCATCAAGTTGATTAACCCACAGAGGAACTGCAATGGAGAGTAGAGATAGTCTACAAATCTCGATAACAGTCGAACAAAGCATTCTCAAGAGTATCCGTAAACCAATAGATATACCCAGCAAAGGTTCTTTGCTTGCCCTGCCTCTGGGCGGAATGGTACCATCGAGGTCGTCACTGGACTCTGTTTGGTTTTTTTTGAGCAGGGTCGTTGTCGAATACGACAGGTCTGCTTCAGGATGTGGATTGCGGCATGTTTTTTGTGACAAGAATTCACGTTATGCTTGAGACCCAATAATAGGAGAATGAGGTAGTAAAACAAGGTACTGCAACTCTGGGTCTAGGGAGGTTTCGGAGTTGATTGTAAGCCAAAGTGTGGGGGTGTAAGGTCGGGGTAATTACCCTACTTCCCAACCCTATGGCCCTATGCCCTGCAGTCTTTGGCTAAGAGCCTGCCTCCCAGGCTACATCACATCAAAGTGAGAAAACGACGTTAGCGTTCTCTACGTCTTGCCACAGAGAGTTCGCATGACAAAACTCTGGCATGGGAGTCTCAAGAGGCAGGCGACCTCTGGTAAGGAACCTAAATACTGGGATCGCTGCTGTTGGGATGTAGGGTTCAGGGTTTGGGTTTCAGGTGCTGAGGGTTTGGGACATGCTGCTGCTTTTGCTGAGGCGTCGAGTCACACTTGGATGACTGCTCGTCATACTTGCCTTAGTAGTACAGTAGGTGAACTGTACCTTATTTTTGGGTACTAACCAATAGGTTAACCTTTGATTCTCCTAGACCACTGGACAAGTAACTTCAACATACGTTCAACATTCAACAGACCTACATCCTAGTTGCCACGCTGCTGAGACTTCAGATCAAGAACTTGAGTCAGATATACATGCACACCCCACCCGTACAAACGCAGACAGACATACATGCATATTACATTCATCCTTACATACCCATATGCTTGCATGCGCGCAGGCATGTATGCATGCATGCAAGCATGCATACACGCATACACACACACACATATATATATATATATATATACACACTTATTTATTTGTTTATGTATGTATACGCACGCACGCCTACAGCTAATACGCACACGCCTACAGCTATGTACCCGAAACACCGAGAGAAATGGCAATCTGGGATCCTGAACCCTCAACCAGTAGCCCTTCCTCTTGGACCTCAGCCCTGAAAACCCAAAACCCCATTCTAATTATTTAGGCCCCTAGAACAGTATATGCTTTGTAGGTACTTTGATGCCAACGTATATACTATTTGGGTACATGGACCCTTTGGGCAACCGTGCAGACCTTCAGGATCCGACGGGTTTGCAGGCGCAAGGCCAGACTCATAGGTTCCGCCCTCCCCCAGAGTCACCCTAAACCCTAAACCGTCTCCTCAGCAAGGCGAGTTTTCAAATAGAAAGCTTGTATGGGCTCCGGATGCATTGGGGTTTAGGGTTTGGAGTGCAGGGTCTGAGGTGAAGATTCGGGTGCGCTGGCTTGGGGATCTGAGGTTGATGTCCCGAGTTCAGGAATGTGGTTTGTCTATCCGGCGGTCGGATGGTTCTGTGCTGAAGGATAGCGTAAGGGCCTAAGTAGTAATGCTATGTAATTAAGGCCGTAGGGCTCTTTGATGCCACGATGTACAACACTTACCTGATATACAACACCCTATTCTCAGGACTGAACCTCCATACTATCGTTTAGGGGTTTTCTGGCCAAAGGTCTCACCTCCAACGCCATCAGCTACGTCGCGGGTGTAGACTGCGAGGAGTTTTGCAGGCAGGCGATCAACTTTGGTGGAAGGCTTGTTCAATTCTTGTGCCTCGGGCGCATTCACTCAAGTCCCTAAGCCTATGGCTTGCCTTTTGGCGTTTCTGGATGTTTCTGGGTGTTTGGGCGCAGTCTTTTCCAGATGTCGTGCACATGAGGCTGCTAGGGATTGGCATGTCGCGATCAAACTTGACATGATCCTTCGGGAACCAGGGTAACCCCCCAAAAGCCCAAAGCCTCAACTCTAAACTCGGACCTAAAGGCCTACACAAACAAATCAGCGTCCAACGTAACTCTAGACTCAAGAAGTGTAAACCCCAAGGCACACAACCCCCAAAACCTGAAGCACTACGCCTATGTTGGGTGTGGTTTGTTGCTCAAGGTTAGTTATGGTGTCCTTAGAAGAAGCCGCTTATTAGCAAGGATCCTTTATGTGTTTTGCATCATACGAAGATCCCCTACTTTTCTTGTCCTGCTGGCCAGGCTAGGTTAAAGGTCTCCATAGCGGTCCGCTGGTTGCCTCTTACGGTCGAGGGTTTAGGGTTGAGGTTTGAGTGTTTGGGGTTGAGGATTTAGGAGAACACAAGTTGTTCAACCACCACTGAGGCAGATCTATGGAATTCTCCTCGTGGGTGCTGTGGCGTCCCGGTGCAATGGTGCATGAGATTCCTATAGTCTCCATTGTAGTTCCTCTTGGGGGTTACTGTTTCTAACTTAGAAACCATGGGCCCCTAGTACGGGCCCTAACCCAGGGACCCTGACAGACCTACTATAAATACCTGTATACACCCTTAAGGGTCCCTGGAATCCCCCTAAACGGCCTAAGGGTCCATATTAGGGGCCCACGCTTCTAACCTTAGGTTCTAGGATCCTAAACATAGAGTTGGTTAAACCAAAGCTTGGAGCTACAATGGAGACTCTAGGTATAGGACCTAAAGTAGTTCCGTTTTGGGGTTACCTTATACGATTCTATATATGAACCCCGAAAAGGAACTACTTTAGGGCCTTTGGGTAGGTAGCTTCTGATGGGCGTTGGTGCAGCGATCTTGTGGCAGAGCCGGGTTCTCTCGCTTGCCTGCAGCAGGCTCCAGGCTAGAAGTGCCTTGCTAGGGTTTAGGGTTTAGGGTTTAGGGTTTAGGGTTTATAGGGTTTAGGGTTTAGGCTGCTGTGGCCCTCAGAACCCTAAACCGTCTTAAGTATGCTCTGTAGGACAAAGATCCCAAGACCGGCAAATCTGAATCCTGAAGCACCCTAAACCCTAAACCCTAAACCGGTCCTGAAGCACCAGTCGCGGAATGCTGGCAATCTTTTTTGAGAATCTGAAGGCCCAAGTTTCCCCTGGGAACCACTACTTGAGTGTGTAGGGTTTAGGGTTTAGGGTTTAGGGTTTAGGGTTCAAGCATTAGGCAGTGTTAAACCCCAAGTGTCTGAAGCACTAAAGCACCAAGAAGCAATACCTGATTCCACCCTTGCAAGAAAACTTGGCCTACCCCCGCTAACCGCAACACCCTAAACCCTAAAGCCCCAAACCCTAAACCCGCACCCCGTTAACCGCAACACCCTAAACCCTAAAGCCCCAAACCCTCAACCCGCACCCCGTTAACCGCAACACCCTAAACCCTAAAGCCTTGAAAGAATCTGTTACAGCCGTCATCACGAGGAAGCTTTGGAAGAGCAGCGGCTGGCGACAGATTTGCCTTTGGAGGCAGGCGGCCGCTTAGGGTCTACCTGCAGTCTCCATTGTAGTTCCCTTTTTAGGTTTAACCATTTATATATTAAGGAATTTATAAGGTATCCCCAAAAAGGAACTACAATGGAGACTATAGGTAGGGTCGTAGGGTCAAAGTTTTTTAGCTTGGCGGTTAGGGTTAGTTAGGGATTTAGACAACTATACTTCCCTTACGTCTGACACTATAGTCACTAAGTCTGAAGATCCTTTAAGTAGAGTTGAGGACGGGTTATGGGGGGGGGGGGTCAGGGCATTCTATTTTCGGACTTTTGCCTTGCCTAGCATAATCAAAGTCCCATGCAATTGCAGCCCACACCCCGGACCCAAACGGGTTTAGGATTTAAGGACTCATAAGAAGGTGATGCGCCAACGAATTTGGGGAACATCCGGAGAGGCGACTCATAATATAAAGGTGCTCTACACCCTACACCCTGAACCCTATACCCTGAACCTTAACCCTAACCCTCAACCCGAAGCCGTATGGATTACTCTGGGTAAACCTGAGTCCCTGTAGTCTATAAGTCTATAAACCCTTAGACCCCGACCCTCACAACCTCGACTAGGGTTTAGGGTTTAGGGTTTAGGGTTTAGGGTTTAGGGTTTAGGGTTTAGGGTTTAGGGTTTAGGTTGAGGGCTTAGGGGTTTAAGCCCTAAACACAAGACCCTGAAATCGCAAACCTCAGGAGGACAAGTTATCTGATGTGGCATCACGAGCAGAGCGCTTCGCCTCCATGTCGAAGGCGGCGATTGAGGCCAGCTGAAAGAGGCTTACAGTAGGTTTATGGGAATAGCCGCTTATATGACTACTATGGCTCGGGATTTCAACCCTAAACCCTAAACCCTAAACCCTAAACCCTAAACCCTAAACCCTAAGGGGCTGGGGCCCAACTCGTTGGTTGAAGGGGCCTAAATCCTAAACCCTGCACCCCCTAAGCCCTAAACCCTACACCCTGATGGGTGGTTGTCAAAATTATGGTCCCTTTTTGGGTCCTTATTATAATACGGCACCTATTATTTAGTGTACCCCAAATGGGACCATAATTTTGACAACTACCATGATTCCTAAAAGTTTCACACCGGATCCTAAGCTACAAATTTTGGGGATCTAGCCAACGGGATGAGCGAATGCACTGGGGCACGGGATTCGGTACGTTGCTTGGCTGCTTGGGGCTCTTAGGGTATGAAGCTCGCAGGTTTAGGATTTAGGGTTTAGTTTTTAGAGTTTGAGGTTTAGTTTTTAGGGTTTAGGTTTAGGGTGTTTGATAGCTTTTCCCTAAGACTCGAAGTATGCAAGTAGTACCTCCTTTGGTGTCCCAAGTCTACAAAGACTACCCGACGTTTCTTATGTGGAACCGCTACTAAAGGCCAGAACCTGAGGCTAGAACGCAGTGAGACACCCAAAGGATCGGGTTTCTGTCATGTCATAGGAATTACCATAATGGTCTGGGTAGTTCTCCCCCACATTGTACTTTCAGTGCTGAAGATCCTGGGGGACAAGCACGTACAGACACAAAAGACACAAAGCCCCGGGTTTTCGAGGCGTATAGAAACTAGCCGGTTGTCGGGCAACCGTAATATAGGGGCCTTTATAATTAGAATAGGGTTTTGGGGCCCAATATACTATAGGTATAGCAAGGAACCCCCAACATAGGCCCCTACATTACATTATGGGGGATAAGGATAGCGCTGACCTGGCTTAGACTCTAGAAAACCCTGCGCACAAATGCCGTTAACCTCTGACACTGACAACTTGTAAACCCGAAGCCGTAAACCCTAGAAGGCCTAAGCCCTATAAACGCTAAACCCCTAAACCCTAAACCCCTAAACCCTAAACCCCGAACCCAAAACCCCTAAACCCTAAACCCCTACACCCTACAACCCCTAGACCCTATAAGCCCCAAACCCCTAAACCCCGAAACCCTAAGCCGAACGCTTGAAGAAACCCTAAACCCTAAACCCTAAACCCTAAACCCTAAACCCTAAGCCCTATAAACGCTACTTGAAATGATTGTCCTCTCATCTTCTGGAAGCACAAGGCTTCTGGCCCATCCTGGCAACCTCACACGAACCCTAACCCCGAAACCCCCGATACATCCGGAAGCGTGAGCCCCGGTTTAGGGTTTAGGGTTGAGGGTTTAGGGTTCAGGGTTTAGGGTTGAGGGTTTAGGGTTTAGGGTTTAGGGTTTACAGTATGAACTTCCTAAACAGTATAACACGAGGAACTCATATGTAGCTCAGGCAGAAAAAAAGCAAACAATGCACCCGAAACCCTAATAGCACATGAAAGTCGAAGCCAAGGAAGCATCACTCGGTGAAGGGTTTAGGGATTTAGGGTTTAGGATTTCCCCTAAACCCCGAAACCCTAACCCCCCCCCCGTGGGTGGCTTAAAT